CAGGATCTGACCCAGGGGGTCTCCAGGAACTCCAGGGCTCACAGGATCTGACCCAGGGGTTCTCCAGGATCTCCAGGGCTCCCAGGATCTGACCCAGGGCGTCTCCAGGATCTCCAGGGCTCACAGGATCCGACCCAGGGGGTCTCCAGGAACTCCAGGGCTCACAGGATCTGACCCAGGGGGTCTCCAGGATCTCCAGGGCTCCCAGGATCTGACCCAGGGGCTCTCCAGGGCTCCCAGGATCCAGGGATGGGGGTCTCCAGGAACTCCAGGGCTCCCAGGATCTGGCTCAGGGGATCTCCAGGGCTCCCAGGATCCAGGGATGGGGGTCTCCAGGAACTCCAGGGCTCCCAGGATCTGACCCAGGGGGTCTCCAGGAACTCCAGGGCTCTCAGGATCAGAACCAGAGGCTCTCAAGGTCTCTCAGGGTCACATCCAGGGGCTCCCAGGATCCGATCCAGGGGCTCACAGGATCTGATCCAGGGGCTCACAGGATCCCATCCAGGCTCTCCAGGGCTCCCAGGTCACATCCAGGGGGTCTCCAAGGATCCCATCCAGGGGCTCCCAGGATCACATCCAGGCTCTCCAAGGACTCCCAGGGTCACATCCAGGCTCTCTAGGGTTCCCAGGATCCCATCCAGAGGGGTCTCCACGGCTCCCAGGGTCACATCCAGGCTCTCCAGGGCTCCCAGGGTCAGATCCAGAGGGTTTCCAGGGGCTCACAGGATTCCATCTAGGGGGTCTCCAGGATCACAGGATCCGGTCCAGGCTCTCCAGGGGCTCCCAAGATCACATCCAGAGGGGTCTCCAGGTCTCCCAGGATCCCATCCAGGGACTCCCAGGGTCAGATCCAGGGCTCTCCAGGGGCTCACAGGGTCACATCCCGGCTCTCAAGGGTTCCCAGGATCCCATCCAGGCTCTCCAGGGTTCCCAGGGTCACATCCAGGGGCTCCCAGGATCCCATCCAGGCTCTCCAGGACTCCCAGAATCCCATCCAGGCTCTCCAGGGCTCCCAGGGTCAAATCCAGGGGGTATCCAAGGGCTTCCAGGATCCCATCCAGGGGCCCCCCTTGATCAGATCCAGGCTCTCCAGGGACTCCCAGGGTCAGATCCAGGGGGTCTCCAGGGGCTCCCAAGATCCAATCCAGGCTCTCCAGGGGCTCCCAAGATCACATCCAAGGAGTCTCCAGGTCTCCCAGGATCCCATCCAGGGACTCCCAGGGTCACATCCAGGGGCCCCCCTTGATCAGATCCAGGCTCTCCAGAGCTCCCAGGATCAGATCCAGGCTCTCCGGGGGCTCCCAGGGTCACATCCAGGCTCTCCAGGGCTCCCAAGATCACATCCAGGGGGTCTCCAAGGGCTCCCAGGATCCCATCCAGGCTCTCCAGGGGCTCCCAAGATCCAATCCAGGCTCTCCAGGGGCTCCCAGGGTCACATCCAGCCTCTCCAGGGTTCCCAGAATCCCATCCAGGGTTCCCAGGATCCCACACAGGTCTCCCAGGATCCCATCCAGACTCTCCAGGGCCCCCAAGATCACATCCAGAGGGGTCTCCATGGCTCCCAGGGTCACATCCAGGCTCTCCAGGGCTCCCAGGGTCAGATCCAGAGGGTTTCCAGGGGTTCACAGGATTCCATCCAGGGGGTCTCCAGGGTCGCAGGATCCGGTCCAGGTTCTCCAAGGGTTCCCAGGATCCCATCCAGGTGTCCCAAGATCACATCCAGGGGGTCTCCAGGGCTCCCAGGATCAGATCCAGGGGGTCTCCAGGATCCCATCCAGGCTCTCCAGGGTTCCCCAGGTCAGATCCAGAGGGTCTCCATGGCTCCCAGGATCCCATCCCTGGCTCCCAGGATCCCATCCAGGCTCTCCAGGGCTCCCAGGATTCCATCCAGGGGGTCTCCAGGGCTCCCAGGATCAGATCCAGAAGGTCTCCAGGGTCACAGGATCCGGTCCAGGCTCTCCAGGGGCTCCCAGGATCAGATCCAGGGCTCACAGAATCCCATCCAGGCTCTCCAGGGGCTCCCAAGATCACATCCAAGGAGTCTCCAGGTCTCCCAGGATCCCATCCAGGGACTCCCAGGGTCAGATCCAAGCTCTCCAGGGTTCCCAGGATCCCATCCCTGGCTCCCAGGATCCCATCCCTGGCTCACAGGATCCCATCCAGGCTCTCCAGGACTCCCAGGATTCCATCCAGAGGGTCTCCAAGGGCTCCCAGGATCCCATCCAGGGGCTCCCCGGGTCAGATCCAGGTTTTCCAGGGACTCCCAGGGTCAGATCCAAGCTCTCCAGGGTTCCCAGGATCCCATCCAAGTCTCCCAGGATCCCATCCAAGTCTCCCAGGATCCCATCCAGGCTCTCCAGGATCCCATCCAGGCTCTCCAGGGCTCCCAGGATTCCATCCAGGGGGTCTCCAGGATCCCAGGATCCCCTCCGTGGCTCACAGGATCCTCACCAGCCGGCCCAGCGTCTCGGCCACCTTGACACGCACGGCGGGCACGGGGTCCTTGAGCAGCAGGTTCAGGGCTGGAGGAAAGGGGAAAAGGAAATTTGAATTGACTCAGGACCCTCCTGTGCATTTATTTCTAATTTAAATTTACTCAGGACCCTCCTGTGCATTTATTTCTAATTTAAATTTACCCAGGACCATCCTGTGCATTTAATTTTAATTTTAATTGACTCAGGACCATCCTGTGCATTTACTTTTAATTTAAATTTACTCAGGACCATCCTCTGCCTTTAATTCAAATTTAAATTTACTCAGGACCCTCCTGTGCATTTATTTCTAATTTAAACTGACTCAGGACCATCCTGTGCCCTTAATTTTAATTTATATTTACTCAGGACTCACCTGTGTCTTTACTTTTAATTTAAATTTACTCAGGACCATCCTGTGCATTTCAGTTTAATTTAAATTTATTCAGG